CGAACCCAGGGCCTTGCACTTGCTAGGCAAGCACTCTACCACTGAGCCAAATCCCCAACCCGAGATCCAGAGTCTTTGTCCAGCGTGACTTTTGATTTCTGCCCTGACAGGTCCTAACAACATTCTTCAACCTAAGTGTCCTCTACCTTCATGGCAACAGCATCCACCGCCTAGGGGAGGTGAACAAGCTATCTGTCCTCCCTCGTCTCCGGAGCCTGACCCTCCATGGGAACCCCATTGAGGAAGAAAAGGGGTATAGGTAAGTTCTTGGAGCTGGGGTCCAGATGCGCCTCCCTAAGGAACAAGGGGAGGGAGACAAACTTAAGACCACTCTTCTCCCACACGTGGACACAGGAGGAAGGGGCAGACCTCTAAGCATTCCCCTTGCTCTCAGAATGAACCCCGTCTTCCCAAATCACAGCCAAGCTCCCCTCCATTCCCAGCTGTCAGAAGAGACAGCAGCCACTGGTGGAGGGGAGGGAGTTCTAGTGTGGGGCTCACCCCCAGCCAAGTCTTCCCCACAGGCAGTATGTGCTATGCAACCTGCCCCGCATCACCACGTTCGACTTCAGTGGAATCACCAAGGCAGACCGCACCACAGCCGAAGTCTGGAAACGCATGAACATCAAGCCCAAGAAGGTCCGGATCAAGCAGGATGTACTCTGAAATTCACAGGACCCCAGCACACCTAATGCCCTGAGGATGATCAGCTTGGTTTGACAATAAATGATTTAAGCTGTTCAGCAAATTCAAGTCCCCTGCACCTTGTAAGGATGCCTTCCATGCCCAGCAGCTACCAGTAAAACTTCACAGTGGAGGCACAGGCCTACTGGCTCCGGACCCAGGAACCTGGTGTTGCCATGCAGGAAACTATCCTCATTGGCCCCTTGTACTCTTTAGCCTTCCGATATGGGAAGAGAGTAGATGAGCAATTTGTAAAAAAAAAATTTAAAAGAGATTCTAACTCTAGCCCATGCTAGCCTTGAACTTGTAACAATCCTCTTGCCGTGGTCTCCTGAGTGCTGGTATTAACAGGAGTAAGCCACCGTGCCTCACCCAAAGTCTTCATAAAGCGCCAAGGTGTGCAGAGCTGCCATCAGCCTCTAGAGTAGGGCCAGAAAATAGCTGTGATCTATTTCTATTAGAGCAGAGTAATTTTACTCTCAGGTTGTGATTCTGGTTAAGATTTCATTTCCTAGTGGGTGGTGGTGGCACATACCTTTAATCCCAGCACTAGAAGCAGAGGCAGTCAGATCTCTGTGAGTTCAGGGCCAGCCTGGTCTACATGGTGAGTTCTAGGTCAGCCAAAACTACATAGTGAGACCCTGTCTCAAAAAAAAAAAAAAATCATTTCCTGTAAAGAATAACCATCGGAGTATGACCTCCTCCCTCCCACCCCTAGGGGCTATGTGTAAGCCTATTGAGCCTGAGGCAAGTCTCCAACAGTCACAACTGCCTCCAGTTCAAGTCTGTACAGTTGTGACAGTGTTACCATCAGTAGAGAGGGGGAAATGAATGGTCTCATCCTACCTAAGGTTACCCAACACTATATCAGCTAAGACCTGGCAACCTTGAACTTTTGTCTCCTGGATTCCTCCTTAATGCTGCTGAAGACATTCCTCTGCATCTCACTGCTCACAAACTTGAATAGCCAAAATAAATAGTGGAGTGGTGGGCAGGACAGAGCAGGTTGAACCAGCAACACAAATGAATATACTTCCTTTATCGAGGGGTGACAAACAAAAACAAAAAGACCAAACATGTAAAAACCCAGGGTGCTAGAAATACAAACTCAATTCAGATTCAAGCTCATCTAGACCCTGGTCGTAATCCCTAGTGAGGTGCCTCTGAGCACCAAGTCAGGGAAGGGGACAGGAGTGAATTGGAGGCCAAGAGAAAGGGTGGGAAGGGGATCCCCTAGGTCTCCCGGTGTTCACCCCTACAGTGGTATCTCCATCTTCCCAATGACTGTGAAGATCTGCCAGGCCCTGTCCTCTTGGCCCCAACCTCACCCCAGCCAGGACTTGAAGGCCAGTGGCGATCGGTTCTCCCTCCCTTGCTTAGTCCTCACTTGCTCAGGCTTCTAGCCTTATTCTTTTCCTCCATATTCTTCTCCGTGATTAGTAGCAGGTTAAGTACTGTAGAAAGCCACAGTGAGGCTGGGGGCCAGAAGAGGTGGGGTGGAGACGGGATGGAGAGGAGGGAAGAGCTGTCCCAGGACCCCTCTCTTCATGGGATCCCAAACTGTACAACCAGCTCTTCTTTCGCGTCCACACGGATCTGAGAAAGTGCACTGTAGGCATAAGCAGCTATCCTGGAGACCTGAGACAGGAGCCAGGGAGGAAAAGAACAGACATGAGAGGGAGAGCTGGCAAAGTGGGAGATGGGATAGCAATAAAGAAATGGCCTGAGAAAGGACTGAAAACCAGAAAGAACTAGGTGTGGTGGTGCTTTCCTGTAATCCCACTACTCAGGAGGCTAAATCAGGAGGGTCACAAGTTCAATGCCAGCCTGGGCTGTAACAGTGAGTCCTCTGGAAAAACAAGGGTCAGGTTGTAGCTTACTGGTAGAACACTTGCCTAGCATGCACAAAGTCCTGGGTTTTATCTTTGGAAGGAAGTGAGGTGGGGGAGAAGGGTGGGGAGCAGGGCAGATGCTGGGAGAATAAAGGCTATGGGGAAGAACTAAGACGGCTATGAAAACTAAGAGAGCAAGGTGGGAATACGCTGGGCGCACCAAATGCCAGGCTCCCTCCCTCCCGTGAAGCAGCGTGGGAAGGGGGCAGGGGACAGGCCCGGGGTGCTCACCTGCTGCAAGTCAGAGAAGGGGATGGGCTCGCTGGCCAGCACTTGGTGGGGCTGGCTGGTGAGAGATGGCAGCGGCGGCAGCTTCTTCCAATGAGTCAGACTGCTGCTAAGCACAGCCAAGCGAGTACTGGCCGAGAGGGAGGGGTCATGGAAGGACAATTAGGCCAAAGCTTGCCCTGCCCTGTCCTGCCCTGCCCAGGCAAGCTTCACTCCCTCAGGCCAGGGGACCTTGGTGACAGGGTCATCACCAACTCACGTGACTGTACTCCTTTGGCCTGATCACCCTTGATCAAATGTATTGGGCAAACAGGGCTGACTTGAATGCCTGAGGCACCTAAGGGATCTGTAGTCAGTTTTCTGGGCTGCACCCAAATGAAGAGCCTGGACAGGGGACCAGACTCCAAAGCTAGAAAGAAATGACTAGGAGGCTGTCCCTGTGCTCACCTGTACTGCCTTGCCCGGTCCATGTACTCATGCTGCTCCATGCCCTGGGAGTCTGCAGCAGACACATCAATGATGTTGCTTTGAAGAGAAGAAAGAGAAGACATGACAGGTGCTTCGGAGAGGCACAGACAAGAATCAGTGCCAGTGGCCAAGTCCAATGCTATCTAACACCAGTACTCCCACCTGCCCAGTGTAACAGGGCAGAACCCAGAGGCATCTCTCCCCAGTGACCTCGTCCTATCCCAGAAGCTTGGCTGCCTCTGCCCCAGCCTGGTCCTATGACACTCACCTAGCTGTCTTGGCAAGGATGGAAGAGAGCAGGGCCTGCTCATCTGTGCGAGCTGAAGGCAGGCTGTGGTAGTTGGGCTCGGCCCCATTGAGGGCTTTGGTGGGGGTGCTACTGGGGTCCAGCAATAGCTTCCGCTCCTCCCGATCCTAGGAGAGGCCAGTGGAGAAAAGTCAGCCCTAGGACCTTCATTTCTTCTCCCAGGTCCTCTCCTCAGACCAGCTCTGACCTTTAAACACTAAAACTATTTTTATAAAGACAACTAAAGTATCCAGATGGATCCAAAGTCAAAAAACATTCATTCTCTGACTGATCCAAAGTCAGTGGTCTAGGAGGAACCTAGAGAACCTGAAAAATTCAGAGAGGAACAAAGCAGGCATTGAGCAACAGTCCTGGAGCCTCGGTGAACTGGTCAAATACCTACTGGACAAAGGCTATTGGAAACCAAGTCAGAGGAAGTGGGAAAGTACCAAAATAAAGGTACAGAGGAGGAAATAATACAAGTCAGAACCCAAGAAGAGCCTTCCTGGTTCCCTGGATAAAGTACTACCCAGCAAAGATGCTGGCCCCCAACATCGTGAGGCCCTAGACCCCAAGAGAAAGCAGGCCCATTGTATCTTGCCATTCCTCACATTACCTTAGTGCAGAAAAACTCCAAGCCCACAACTTAGACACAACACCAATAACCTCTCTTTTCTTCTTTCTCTTCAGGCTCTTTGTAAAGCCTCCACAAGAAACATTACTCACACATGCACACAACAGTCTTTCTATGTTCCCCAGGCTGCCCTAGTACTATATAACCAAACTGGCCTGGAACTTGCCAGTGTCCAGCCTCTACCTCCCCCAGTGCTGTGATTACAGGTATGTTCTGGGTGTTCTTTTCACCTCGCAGGCATTCACCTTCCTGTGGCCTGATACCTAGTATATGTTGAACTCAGAGAAACAGCAGAGCTGTTTCTCCCTTCCAAACTACACTCTTTGCCCAACACAGCCTCCTCAGTCTTTAGCAGCCCTGCTACTATTAGCCTGTATAGACACCACAACCACCAGAACTGATCTAGAACTAAACCAAGTCTCCATCTTGTGGAACTGTATTTTCCTTGTCCTGGTTCAGGCCCTGGTTCTAATCTACTGCCTTTTAGGCTCAGCACTGCCTTGAGTCCATCAACTGCAGATCTCTGCTGGCTTTGTGTCAGGTGCGATCTGGATAAGCAGACCTGCTGGATGTCTGTCTATTCAGTCCACAGAAGGCTAGGGCAGGCCACTTGTGAAGGAATATAGTGTGAAGGAGGAGGGGAGTGCTAGCCAATGCTGACCCATCAACCTTAGTGCTCAGCTGCCAGCCTCAGCACTCTCCTCCCAGCCTGGAGAGTTCCTACCAGTTTCCCTGCTGCAGCAGCCAACTTCATTGCCCAAACTCTCCCTCCAGAGAGCTACTTCCTCCTGGTCTTGCCTGCCCCACCCCAGACAGGCTCAACCGTTCCACCTTGCTCTTCCTCCTCAGGCCATTTGACCCAGTTCACCCTGGCAAAAGGAAGCATCTATGGCCTTCTGCCCCATTACCTCTAGGTTCCCAGACAATCTTTCTCCTTCCTCAGTATTAACAGGCTAGAAAGATAAAGTGTTTGCCAAAGATGAAAGGATCTCTAAGGAAAGCTGGCTCATAATGAGACTCAAAATATTTTCTATGCCTGCTTTTCCCAGCCCCATTGCTGACAAATATTCACCCCCATTCCCCCATCAGGGGTTCAAGAACAAGGTTGTGTTTCTAATTTCCTGAAGAGGCCCAGCAACTCCAAAGAACAGACAAACTGAGCTAAGAGTAGTGATACACACCTTTAATCCCAGCACTCTGGCAAGGCAGGAAGATCTCCGAGTTAAAAACAGCCTGGTCTACATAGCAAGTTCCAGGCCAGTCAAGGCTACATAAAGATACCCACCCCACCCCACCCCACCCCCGCCAAAGTTAATGACATCACCTGACACCCAAAGAATGAGTGGTACATGGGGTAAGTTACAGGCTGTAGCATAGACCCATGGTGTCTGCCCACAACGGAATACCTCAGAGCTTCTCCCAGCACATAAAGCACATGATTTGTGCTTACAAACACCTTGGCTAGAGTACTTCTAAGGTTAGCTAAATCTTAGATCCTCTGAACTTTTCCCTCAGCTTTAAACAGATGTTAACTCATATGACTGGTCAATGTAAAAGCCTT